TGCATAGACTTTGAAGTTGACCTGAAATTAAGGACGTCTTCCAAAGAATAAGTGTAAGAATTAAACCATTTCAATCAATCTGTAATCTAATTTGCTGAGAAAATGAGAAAAGTGCCTCATGACTTGGGAATGTTTCATCTCACTCTTCGGCTTGATAGATCTGTGTTGATCAATTCAGAACACAATTAGTGTCCCACAGATAAGCTCGGATTCATAAAAAAGACTATGTTATCAATGAAGTTCAAGTTAATCTGGTTTTGTCTCGCACACAGAGGCTCGGGTCAAAATGGTGCTCTACATTTATTACATGAGTTCTGAGTTGCCCTTTCAAAGGTTCTGTCCGCCTTTTCACTTGAATTCATACCAGGTGCTAACCGCCTCACTGCACTCGCTTCATAGAAAGCCCCTGGTTCCTCAAGGTCGGGGAGTTTTACACTGGAATGGGAGTCCACAAATTCTGCATGAAAATAAATACCTTAAATGGGTTTACTGTAAATCCTCCATTTCCTGTTAGTCCACTCACTCACCACAAAGCTTTTACATGGCCTTATAAGTGTAAAGTAAAACTGTTTTCAGAGAGTATTTTTTCAAAGTAGAGAACGCTTGGCATTAAAAATCTGAAAAGTTATACACGGTGAGAAGAAAAGATCCTCCTGAATTACACTAGTAATATATTTACAATGCATTCCAATAACAACAAATATGGGAAAATATCTGACACTTGACACACAGAACAGGACTTCACCCAGTTTGCTTAACAGTTCTGTCCCTATGGAGAGGTATGAATAAGTACTATGGTTTGTATGGAAAGAAAAGTAGGTGATTGTAATCTGGTAAGTCACTTTGGATAAAAGCATCAAGCATATACAGTATATAATAGCTGACCACTGAACCAAGTAATATAACTGTAGAAGACCAGCTTGTGATTATGATTCATAATGCCACCGGCAAGCAGACCAAAATGCTAAGCGAAAATTAAAAATAGACCATTGCAGGATTTATTGTGCCCACAAAACCGAAGCAGTAGGTTATTGTGGATCTGAAAACACAGCAGGAACTTCAGGACAAGAGAGCATGTTATTAAAAATGTGCAAACCCCAGAAAAAAAAAGATGTAATGGGATTATTAGAATCTTCCTTTAAAAAAAAAACACATTTTTACTTGATCCATAAAATGTAGGTAAGGTGATGGAATAATAGAACTGCTATGTCCATGTTTTAAATGCCCATATGAAAAATGTTAGAGGATTTTAGGTGCTTTATCAAAACTGTTTCAAGGTGGAAAACTATTAAAATATTTAAATATATGGAAAAAAGAATAAGTGGAAACCATTTGGTTCATCTAGCTAATTTTTCTGTTAATAGCTATGTGATCCAGGGATGTCCTCCAGCTGTTTCGTGAAAGAGGTAATGGTATCTGCTTTGATAGGGTTAGAGAGTAGAGGAGTAAATTGCCATATATACATGTACATTGGAATTCCTATTGGCACTGATCTCTTGGGACATGCACAGTACAACAGACAACACCACACAATGTAGACAGTACTTTACAAAAAAGGTGTGTATGTGTAGTCAACCTCATTTGTACCCAGTGTGATCCTGGTCTGATTCCAGAATAGGTATGTCCGTAGAGGTGTGCACATGAGGTATTCCCAAGGGATCCACTTTCATTCCATCTCCTGAGGATATGCTGGCTAGCATAGTTGTTCATTAGTAATTAATAGTTCAATAAGAATTGTCCTGGTCTTCATTCATGTCTTTCTTTTGGGTTTAATTGCACCTTGTAAAAAAATGCTTCTAGTTTAGGTTTTTGGTGTGCTGCAATCCTTTCCAGCAATAAGTGATTTTCTGGTGATGGATGAACCCAGTTCAGTGTTTCAAACGTTTTATGTTAATTTTGCAGTGGCACACCCCCCCCATTAAGATGTAATTTGCATTCATTGCTTCTTCACTAGATCCCAGTTAAGCAAAATTTGCTCATTGTCCTCTGAAAATAGTTTTTTTTAATAGTTTCATAGCCGTGATTATATATGCTACATCCATCTCTGGTCTGTCTGTTGAAAAGAATAAGATTCATTCGAAAACTGGCGGAAAAAATTGCACAACCACAAACAATTGTATCAGTAAATCGCAGGACTGTCAAGCACACAAAATGGCCTCTGGGATGAATGCTCAGTGTCACCTGTAAGCTCTGCTTGAGCGATTGATGAGGAAAAACACTCCACAGCTGGGAATGAGCAGCTTGCCTTATTTCAAAATTAGCAGTTTAAGTGTTTTTGACTCAGAAACCTGAATGGCCAAAGGCAAAATTAAAAGAGCATCAATTGTGAAAAAAACAGCAAACTTGACTTTAAAATAGATTTTGCGGTTTAGCTGAGGTTTTTATCGTCATTGCGTATACTATATGTATATCTGTGGTACCGCTATCTTAAGTACATATGTAATAGGTATTTTTCTGATTTATATTAGACTGTATTAGTAGTATTCACTTAATGACATTAAACTGATTGAGACAGGCTTTATAGTTTATCAATATAAAACAAGAATGGCAATGAAAAGCATACTGTACAAGGCATCCTAAATAGCAGAGCTGGACTCCCAGATGCTAAAGTGATTGATGCTGAAATATGAAATATATGAAAGAATAGACACCCAAAGAAGGCTCCACAGCTGAAACGTTGTGTTTCTTTTCTTCTCTTTTCAGCATGGAATAAACCTTTACTTGTTCCTATGAAAGAAGAGTACCATTCTGGGACCTTGTCTCTTCAGTAACCATAATATCCTAAGGGATTCCCAATATTCTTATGGACCAGTGCAAAGTGTGAAGCAGGATCAGTCGATCACAGATCACACCAGACAAATCGGTAATACCAGTTAACTTGGACAACATGGCTTGGGCCCAAGGGAGGAAACTGGAGGTCCCAGAAAAGGTCATGCAGTCTGTGGGAGGACATTGCTCCACACTCAAGGTCTCCCCCTCTCCAGAACTCAACCCAGGACCCAAGAGTTGTGCAGGGGTGGGGCTAACTTCATTGCCACTGAGTAGCCCATGAATGGTCCTATGTGTGAACATCAGTTTGTGCCATGATGGCTGGGTCCTTCACAGAGGACACGGTGGGTCGAAAAAACCTGATGAATACTTTATAAGGGAAATGTATGGGCTTAAAAGGTAAGTGAACCTCACAACTCTATAGTCAATAAAACATTGTCAATTTTCTTGTAAATGAAAATGTGTAACAAATGAAATCTGTAACTGGTAATTCTGGAACCATGTCCAGTCAAAGATTACACAGAGGTAAAAGTAATGTAAGAGTTTATTTTACGCTTTTTAAATCAATCACACCACAACACACAACCACTTTTGTTAGGTAGTATTTGATCAGTATTTAATTACAGGGTTACACAGTGAGTCTGGTATAAAGCATAGTGCAGCACGCCATTCCTTACAGTGCAAATAGATTGATATTTCTTCAGAGAACAGGTGAGTCATTGCTGACATGTCGGGGCTAATAAATTATTGAGCTATGCAGAGAAATGGGCATTTAAATTCTTAATTAATGCCTTGATAAAAGGCTAGCCTTTAGCAACAAACATGCACTGCAAAAGTAAATTCAGCTAAATAACGTCAGTTTACATAATCTGTTATTTATCCATCTAATTAAACAATACACCCCCAAGTATCATTTAGTAATAATTTATTGCTTTGGCTATTTCATAATTATAATATTATCAGGCAGAATCTGAAACTGGTGTTAATGTAATACAACTTACACAGTATTCAGCAATACATCTCTGTACAGCTCTGCACACATCTCTTAATAAACTGGTAAGGAAGCAAAGGTATATACTGTATCACAGAATATATAATATAGAGTCAAAGCATATATCCTTTATTATTGTATTAATTTCATAATTACAAAAGCTGTACATTACAAACAGTATAGAAACGACAGATTGAAAATTATGTGCTACACATCCCAATTATGTATCTATGCGCTATCAGTAAAATGTACAGATAAAAAAACATCCTACAGTACACCCTTGGAATTAAGAGCTATCTTTAAACACATCACTAGTGAGTTGAGAATTGCCAGCAGAGCATCTTAGTTCTCATCAGCACAGAGGACTAGTGCTAACTCAGTTCTATACAGCTTCCCTCCATCTGATAAGGCCATAATAGTTTTTTTATATGTTGCAATGTTTTTGATGTCTAACACCTGGAAAAACAAGAAAAATGGGTTTAAGTCATGTGGCATGTTTCATCATACATCAATGGAAATGGGGATTTTAGATTGAAAACTGATTCAAGTAGTTTGATTTACTGTATCAGTTTATGTCAGCTCATGTCATAAGACATTACCTTTTGATTTTTTTCACACAGGTCTTTTAATAAGGCATCCAGCTCATTCTCATCCATATATCCATTTCCATCCTGAAAGTATCAAAGTACAAATGATATTTGAATAATTGAACAACACTATTGTACATCACTTTCATACCTAATTTAAATAAAAATGAAAATATATATGTAAAATAATTCTGAAACACTCAATTCCTTAGACAAAGGATTTGAGTTTTAACAGAGTGCATATGACATGCTGCATCTCAAGATATTGTATAAATTATGCTCTCTGTTTTACCTCAGGTTTCCAGTATGTCTACAGAGAACTGTACCCCAATTTGCATTCCTGGAAGGAGGCGAAATAACCCAAATGAGCCTAATGACTGGTTCGCCCTTTAAAGCAGCCTGCAAAACCCTGAACTCAAAAACAAAATCTAATCTAAATGTCACTTATTAATACGTAAATACCACACAGTTTCAAAAGCAGGCATCGGTAAATTGCAAGCAACAGCCTGTCACTAAATGCTTCAAAGCTCATTTCATGAACATGGTTGCCATTTCCTCAGCCAATTATGTTCCTGGGTATTCTGTTATCAACAAGGCCCCAAATGTCTGACTGACTGCAACCCGAAGCTGCCAATCAATAGGCACAAGAGGGACTGTCATTTGGCATAAAGGACTCATCCCCATTCAGGGACAAGGCAACAGGCTAGAAGGTGTTGAAGCAAAGAGCTTGGAATAATTTTGGAAAACAGGAACATGAGGGTTAGATAAACTGCATCTCTCCTGCACACGAGACCCGTACCGTACCTCAGAAGTGAAAATACAGGACGAATGTACGGCACAGAATGTTGTAGATATGAGCCACAAGTCGTCATGTCATGTACAACAATATTGTACCTGCTGTGTAAAGGGTCTACATTTTCACCTTAACAAAATTCTCAAAGTAGGAAAAATATTACTCCAGCTGAAAATGAACACTGCAATTTTAGGTTTAATCATTTTCACTCACAATGTGACCTTTAAAGTCACTTCCATTAAAGGACATTAGTGTTTATGACTGCGCATACTACGATAGTGTGAATGTAAAATGTACCTGGTCGTACAGTTCAAAAATTTTGTTGAACTCTTTTCTTGGCATTTTTACCCCCTGAAAAGAAAAACATGAAACACAGAGTTACATGTTAAGAGAATAAGGAATAAATGGCTTTGAAAAACCATGTGCTTACTTTTTACAAATGAAAATAAAACAGACCTACCTGAAACTTGAGCAAAAAGTTTTCTTGATCTGGTAATAGCCTGTTAAAAGAATAAAAACTGAATTTACTTTGTAAGGAATAAGACGTTCCTTACTAAGTGTGCTTTGTATAATCAAAGCATTTATTTATATACACAGCTAGCATAAAGATCAATCAACAACAGACAAACCTTGCCATTTCTGCCAGGCACAGCTTCCCATCATTGTTGGAATCAAATATTTTTAGCTGAAATAAAAAATAATATGATATCAATTACATCAATACAAACTCTATCAATAATTAAAATTATATCAATAAAAACAAATAACACAACAAAGCTAAGTAAATAGTACCAGCTTGGGAAATATGGTGATGCAGACAGTGGGCATCTTACACACTGTGATCTTACACTAGCTTAAAGGAAGCATTGCAGGGCCCATTAGTGTCTATCCACTGACACCAGAATAATATGGCATACTGGTTAGCAGGGCTGCTTCTAAGTTCTAAAGCCCTGGGTTCAGTAACTAACACCGTGGGGCACCAGTGTGGCAGCTGTCTGTTGTCTCTGTGTTTCTGTATTTACCAGGTGCTTAGGTTTCATCCATCTCCAAAAGGCAAGAAGGCTGAGTTTGACTACCTACTACTGTCAATGGTCTTTTTCAAGAAGAAGGGAGAGGTGCTGTCCTCAATTCAACCAGTTCTGGCTATGGGCCAACAGGAGTATGCAACGCAATGACAGTGATGAGCTGAACTGAATCACCTCTATTCAAGATCTCCAGGCTTCATTAAAAATCATGTGTTGAGCAAGGTGAATACCTATTGATTATTCATAATTGATTTCATTTGAATCATTTAAGGTTTTTAGTGAAGCTCTTGCCTGTCTTTGTAGAGCATTAAGCTTGATTTGCACGAACAGGCAGCTAGCGGGGGTTCTTACCGTAGTTTGCGTATACTCGTCTAATTTTTTGTCATCATAGGTTTTCTTTGCTTTCAGAAGTAGATCTCGCAAAAAATTCTGTAACCCGGGAAACAGATATTGATGTCACTTTTAAGGTTCACTGATGATCTGAAAGCTTTCATACAAAATTCCCTTCATTACAAAAGAGATTAATGTTTTGAATTTAATTTCATGCAATAACCAATCTGCAATAAAGGTGCTATCGCCAGAGACCACAGCATTATACCTTTTAATCTCAATCAAACCGCCATGTGTGATTGTGCCACTGCAGTAATACAGAATAGCACACAAATGATTCACCAGCCATGATTTATAAAATTAAATCACTGCTCATGCTTTAAATGTGTATAATTGCACTGTGTTATAACAATTCTCAAAAGAGGAGTTATTACAACTTTCATAAAATGTACTTTTTAGCAGTTTTTGTTTAATGAAATCCTAGCAGTTAGCGAATATCACAGAAGTTCTGGACAATAAGGGAATTAGTCCACAATCTCTCTAAGTTATTTCAAGTACAAAAACAGTTATTTATTTTGTTGGTTGTGTTATTGAAACACTTTAAACCCAGGTCAATTGTCCAATCAAAAAATAGCTGAACCAAATGCTTTTTGGAACATTTTCTTGTTTTCTATTACAAACTGTTTTCAGTCAACAGCTCAAACACTGCTGTCAGAAGTCTCTGTGATAAATTGCCTTTATTACACTGTGAATATCGAACACCTGACCTGGAACAGAAAAGTTTTTGCTTTTTTATACTACCATTTTATTAATTACAAGTTCATATAAGTTGTTTCAGACCTTACTTATGAATTCTGGAACTTGACGCTAAATAAATTGAGCCATAATTAAACTGTACTCTGTGCGCTCAAGCACATTCATCATTAAAGCCTGGGCACTGAGTGGCTGGTCTGCTCACTTTGCACTGACCCTGGTTTTCATAAGCCTGCCTGGGATTTTGATGTCTTCCGTGCTCATGGCGAATGGCATTTAGAGTTTAATTATTTCTGTTTTCCTCTTTAACTTTAGAATATTTAGAAGAAAGTATAAAAATGCAGCAAACGTACGAAAATATAACCGTTTCTGTTTTAATTAAGAGTACTTAAAAAGCTTATAAATGTTAAAACAAATGACGATGCTTACCTTAAGTTCATCTGCTTCGATGTAGCCACTGTGATCAGCATCATACTTTCTCCAGGCCTATGAGACACAAATAACCACTTCACATTACAGTTTCTGCACAAAATACAAGGAGAACTCAGAAATTCCATAGGAATTAACTTCCTGGCAATAATCTACAAGATGTTTGCACTAGCGTTCACAAACTATAATATTGGCTACAGTGGAAACTGGATTTCTTCTAGTTTACAGAATAAACAGGATTCAGAAGTGTATTACGTTGTGGACATTCTGTAGGTAGCAGGAAAAGCAATTAAGGTTTTGAATGAGGATGAAACATTGCTGTGCATAGGACTCATTGATTATGAGAAAGCATTGGATTCAATATTCACAAGAAAACCAAGGAGATAAAAAGCCCAACAAGAACTAAATCAAGGATTTACAGCACGTGTCTCCAGTCCTATTCCTAAAGGTAACCATTAAGTTATCCATTTCTAAAGACCTGGAACAGGCCAGTTGAACAGGTAATTTGTTATGTTAAGTCATTTGATGATCATTTGGAGACACAATATGAAGACCCCTCAACCCCTAGGAAAAAAGTTATCCTAAAGCATAAAGCTTAATTGATTAATAATTTAAAATATTCCTCCCATTACAAAACTGCTGATTTAGGGTGCCCTGTAATACTGAAAGGACTAGGTTGTGGAAGTTGGCGATTTACAAGAACACATTATTTTCCATAATGCCACAGAGAAAGACAGAAAGAGAATCCGAACTGAAGGAGAACTCCACCAAGCAGTGGTCATAACTCCAGATTAGCTGGACACTGGATTGGAAACCAAAAGGAATTTATTGGAATGTTGGAATCCTCATAATTGAAGGTTGAGTGTTGATGTAATTCTGTTTACACCAAACCCAGAAGAGTTACAACTACAAGTCCAAGAACTACATGAAGCCAACAAAAAAGAAGGTCTGAAAATTAATTTAAAGAAATGAAATGGCTATCAATACAAATATACCCCTCCCCCAAGAAAATATGAATTTGTATTAAGGTATGTCATGAATTCTTAATATTCTGGGCCAATGTATTTCAGTAATAAAAAGAGATGTTTTAAACAAAGATAAGAGCAAGAATCATTTGGAAGATTTGGTATGATTCCACAGAGGAAAATGTCTGTATATTCTAAAAGCATGTTCTTCAATCAATGTAATCCTTGTATTAAACTGTAAAACTGTAAAACAAATGGGTCAGAGGACAAAAAAGATTATGGAACACCATTATCAGATTGAGGCGTATAGTGGCAATGGCACAAACAGACAGTGAGAGAAAAGGATTACTGTTGGTACCAAGGAAATACTGAAACAGATTCAGAGGAGGTGAACAAACAGCCAAGAAGAAGAGGTCTTGTTAGATAATGATATTACTGTAAGTCAGTGCTGTTGTGGGAAATCCTTCATCCAAGGAGCAGGACACTAATCTTTGTGGATTCAGTTGTTTTATTGAGCTCAATAATGACATCAACGCGCGTTGGGTCTGCCCCACAGGACCGCAAGGGTTTCCCAGCTCTTATATACAGTATGATCTCAGGAAGTTGTTTTGTTTCACACCTTCATGTGTATTCGTCTTGCCCTTTGATATGTAGCATGAGATGACCGGTTGGTCCTGTCTCAAGTCCTGTCCTTTGATGTGTAGCTGTAATTGTTGGAGCTGCTTAAGATATGTTAAAACAGCCAACATATTACACAATGCACCTGAACCAACACTGTAGTGTTGAATACAGATAAATTATATATATATTTTCCATCAATAATATATATAATATAATAATATATAAGTGTTTTCCCACTTCAGCGCATTTGCAGGATAGGGATTACTCCAGATGGAATACTAGATCTTGGTGAGATTGTCATCCTGGGGTGGATCAACAAGGAATTAAGTTTCCAATTGCTACTTGAAGGCCACATCGGGACTACACTGAAATTAAAACATCCCGCCTTGATGTTAAGCCTGCATTTGCTCAATAAATATCCCGTTTCAGAACACCTGTGTAAAGGCTCACTGCCCAGGTGACAATTAATAATCACTGCAGCCTCCTTAGATTTCAGTTATGTCTTTTGGGATACTGTACCTCACAAAGTGCTGCCACAACTGATTCATGCCCAAATGTACACTGCAATCCAGCTTGTTGTATTAAAATTTTATCCTGACCTTGTAACAGAAAGCTCTTGTCATTTTAAACAGCCGGTGCAGGATAGTAACTTGGATGTTAATGCATCATGGTTTCAATATGTAATCAATCTTGCTTATTTAATTTTGAATTAAGTGCATACCTGTAGATCGCAGAGCTACCAATTTGCAGTATATGCACCGAACAAGGGAAGAAACTTGTAACTAAAAATAAATTGTGATAATGCCAAAAACAAAATGAGACCAAGTGCCATGACATTTTATCGAACGCCATGACATTAATGCTGATTTATATTTTCTATCAGCAGGGTGACTTTTCAGGATACTGGATTGAAAGGGAAAAGCCATTTAGATGGACCTTAACATTCAAGGCTGATGTATTGGTATTTGAATTACTGTCTAGGATGAAATTGTTGGAAGCTGTACAAGCTGTGGATCTACAAAGTCAGCTTTGCACCAGTTTGCAGAAGCTGTTCTATGGGTTTCTGTCCCACTTCTCTCATAAAGCCGGAATATAAGCATGTGCTTGACTGAACACCGAGCCTTAGGTGCTACACGTCATCTCGAATCATACCACAAATGTTAAATATGTCTCAAATCTGGTAAATAGGCCATCCACAATATTCCTCCTACAGTCTTATTTCTGAAAGAAAACTGTTTTTTTACACATGCAAAGTGAGGACGTGTGTTACCCTACTGGCATTTCTTCACTTCCCACAGGAAGAAGAGCGGCAAGCGAGGTCCCATGACTTGATCAGTGTAGCACAGTGCTATCAGGCCGCCTCCTTCTACCACTGGACACACATGGCTAGACAAGGGGGCATGATTTCTGGCCTCCAGTGATCATTGATGGACCGTGTTTGGCTGTAGTGCCCTGCCTAGTTGCAAACACAGTATCGCCCTGAAACCCTCGGACCGTACCATTCTCCCTTTAACATTAAACTTATCATCTCATTATCATATCATTTAACTTAGCATTTCCCCCGCATAACAATCCATTCTTAATCTTTCAACAACCGACTATACAGAATGAACAAATAAAAAAAAGAATCATGACCAAAACATTTTACTCAATTTAACGGCATCTGTACAAAATGGTACTTCCTATACCGGAAGATGTGTTGACGCTCCAAAGTCAAGCTGAGAAGCGGGCTCGGGCTTGGACCCATGAGGCCACCGTACCCGGAAGTGTAGCTGCCCAGGACGCCCAGTGACCACAACACGGAAAAAAGGAAGACAAACAGACGGACAGAACGCTCTCTCATACAGCTAAGTACAAATAAACAGAAAACATAACGTTATCCTTGAGAGTCTGTCTGATTTTGTACGAATAACAGCAACTGATTACGAAGTAAAATGCGGTTATGTTTGTGCGTGTATGAAATGGGAAACTGCTAGCCGAGCCCCGACTGTGTACCCTCGCGAGTTAGCCAACAGGAAAATGGATGTATGAACGTGTGTAATTTAAGTAGGATAACGTGTGTTGTGTACTGTCTGTGGACGGTGACGGGGATCTCTCTGTCACAGTTACCCTCTGTTGGCCTACGTTAGACCTGGTCCTTACCTCTTGGTTGTATTACAGTTCCTTACTGATGCTACAGCACGCATAGTTAAGCCACACCTTCATACATATAAAATCACAATGTTTCACTAATCTTAACTGACCTAATATTCACAATAGCTGGCAAACTAAATAAATGGCATTGATGGATATGTCTAATTTGTGAAAGGAGATTACCATGTAAATAATACCAGCCAAAGAGTAACTTGTAGTGCTACTGGAACTAAAATCGCTTTTATTAGAGTTACTAGCAAATTCCCCTTTACTAGTCTACTGTGAAGTGGTTTATTGTGACGTTAATCAAAAATGTAAATTATATGCAAACTTTATATAGACATTTTATTTTTCATATTTTTATTTATAGAAATGAATTTAGTGTTGCTATAGTATTATATTAGAAATCAAGAATATGAATTCTGTATTTTTCTAGTTTTTAAAGACCACCGGAAACTTTTGTCTTGTTGTTTCTACTAAGACTGCTTGTCTTAGAATTAGACAGAATTCTATATATTATATACAATTCTATTAAATTCTGTGAATAAATACATACCTGCATAAATTCTGCACAGGATTTCAGCTGTTGCCGAAAAAATAACAAGAAATTTTCTTCAGTGGGTAATATCTGAACAAGCTGGAAGGAGAAATAAAATATAAAACAAAGAAGAATAAGAGCCTCACCAGTGCAAAAAGTTCCTTTCCATGAAAACAACTTTTTCTTAAATTAACTCAAAGCCAAGAGCTGCCACAAAATAAAAAAGAAAAATGTCTCAAAGCATGCTTTGAGTGCTGCTGTACACTGCATCATGAAACGTAACACTTGACAACAAAAATGTGACGTTAATTTAAATATTTAAAGCATTTTAAACTTCTGCCACAGAAACAACCTACTGTAAGTCAACCAGGTAAAGTACTTTAAATGTGCAAATGACACAAGTAGTTGTAATGTGTAAGGTTTTATGGTTTAAGCAAAGTTTATCTTAAGTATTCTTTAAAAGCCTGGGCTATGCCTTTCAGTAACTGTGAGGGTGTTTGCTAGAATCACTTTACACTTGAGATACATCTAAAAACCACAAGGATGGCACTGAGAGCATTTAAGAGACTCCAGAGTTTTGTGACACAACTAGACTTTAAGCGGTGTAAAGCAGATGGCTGTGTTAGTGTGAAATCTGTAAAGGAACAAGCACAGATTCCTGCCACTGTATCACCATTTGGTTTTTACTCTTCTTTTTTACAAGTAATCTACAATGATAGCATGTTGTGACACCTTTTCCAGGTCTAACAATGATGGGAAACAAAAATAATACAGCTAATAATTACTACTGCAGGTGCCAATTATGCCAGACCTGTTGGACTGTAGTTGTCTTGGGGAAGTGGAAGAATAATCTTTGGATTGCTGAATCCAAAAATGCATTTAAGTGCACAAGCAAAGTGTTGACTTTTCCCTGCACACATCACTGTAAGCCATTAGTGAGCTGTCCCAAAATCATTATTTCCAATTTCTTTTATGAATCCTCACTGCACATACACGTTAGTTTCAGCCTCTAGCAATTTTCAGAGCATCTTAAAATAAACTTGAATAAATACACACTAGATGCTGTGCAAGCCTCTTACAGTAAGAAGGCATGCACACTGCCTCAGGGAAGGCAGAGCTATAAAAATGCAATGGCCTTGCTCTGAAAATAAAATCACTAACACCTGCCGTGCTGTACACTTCCTGCAATGTTCTTCAGTGTCTCTAGAGCACTTAGTTTATGCTTCAGTCCATCGCACATCCTGTCCTCCACAACCGCCAGTATGAACAAAGCAAGCAGCTATCGGAAAACAAATCACACTCTCAGTATTTACCCTGTCTGCCGTACATCCCAGTATTCAAAATATTCCATATTCAGAACAATTTAATTTTCATTTTCTGTGTTGAACTCTTTCCTTGTAGAGAGGATTTTGTTTTATTTTATCTCAAAATAACGATTTTCTCTGATTTATCAAGGCAGGCAGCATGGATATGCGCTGTGAACTTTCCAAAACCATGTTTGAGAAGACAAACTGAGGTTAATAAGGTTCTGCCTGCATCTGATATTAGTTTTCATTGTACAACAAGCCAGATTATTTGTCAGGGGGTGTACCATACCTAATTAATGCTGTTTTTAAGACTCAAGTATGCCTATTCTTTGTTTTCCGTACTTAACATGCAGTCCCATACGTTCATCAGCCAGGTACCGTGATTTTAAAATGTGTATTTTTCCCCCCAGTCTGGCAGGGTCCCTATATTGACAAATACAAGCTTGAAATGAAAGGTAAATCTGGGGCAATTTATTAGACAACAACAACCAAAATGATTTAGAACTACAGGATGCATGTTTACAGACACACTGTAAATATAATCAATGACATTAAGACATTCAGAAGGTAGATTACACTCTCCCCTCTGACAGACCTAAATGACAGCAGCAATAACTTACCTCAATCTCTATCAGTCTGAGCAGACGGCTAATTGCAGCTCTAAAACAGCTTTCAAAGCAGACCACTGTTTCTATTTTTTATTAAGTCATGTTTTATTTCATGTTTTGCTGCAGCTTAGAATTCTGATATTTCTATACTTTAGTATGAAGTTGTGTTTAATAACACTTAAGAAGGAGTTTGTGAGATTTTGTAATTACTATAAATAAAATCATAGTCAATAGAAAATCACTGTTCTAAAAACCAACATTTTTCACAACAGATGATTCATGGTAATTAAGACCAATGTAAAATATTATAATTGAAATGTGCTTTGTATCTGCAATAACTGAACAGGTCTGGTAAACCCAAAAATAATTCTTAAATCAATTAAGATAAGGAAATTTATTGAATCATATTGCACTTGTCTATATACTGTATCTGAAACATTTGATAGCAAAGCTTTAAAATTATATTTCAAAGTCAGAGAAATGGATAATATAAAATCTAATGGTTGTTGTTTTGAAAGCTGTGTTGTATACTCCAGTTGTGTTCTAGAGTAAAATGCCTAAAAGGTTCTTACCTCTACAATGCCTATCTTACCACCAGCATTCTGTTCATACTCTTCCACAAAAGCCTTCATTTGCTCAGTTAATTCCTGAAAACATCGATAAGAAAAATGACATTACTTCTAGCAGACCCTGGCAATTGTTTGTAAGATGTCAGATTCAGGTTCCAACTTGTGTGGGTTTTTGACCCCTATTCGTGCAAGAGTGTTTTTATAAATCTGAATTTCATAATTTAGGAGACTTTAAGATTTATGATTAGGATTTATCTTACCAGAGTCTGCTGCAAAGCCCCAAACAATTTGTATTTATCAACAAAACCAGTCCTAATAAAAAAATGCTCTGTAGTTGGAAGCATTTTGCCTTCAAGGAATAACTTGTTTTTTTCTTTTACACTTTCTTGAGTTTTCGATTTGGCCTCAGTGATGTACTGTTTGTCAGTTAAATCAATTTATCATGAATTAGAATTGATAGAATTCTGATTATTAAACAGTTAATGTGTACAATTAAGTGGAATTTCTTTCACCCCTGCTAAACACCATAAAGCAAATACATTATTAATCTCTAAATGACAATGGTGAAAAGGATAGCACACCAACCATACAAATCAAACTTAAAACAGCATAACCATATAAACTATTAAATTATTGAATAAACACTAATTAATTGCAATCATATATCATGATCTTACAGAAAATGAGACAAAGAAAAAAATCTTAATTAATCTCTTCATGTAAAAATTGTTATAGTTTAGGAAAGTAATGAATTATTTTATTAGCTGAAATAGTCTGACATACTTTTTCTCTCAAATTCCAGTTCATGAAGAATGTTCCACTGTTTTTATGTATACACAACTGTCAAAGTTTTCTTCTCTCCTTGCTTTCAGTCATTTGCACTTTAGAAAGCCCGGTATTATACCACAATATAATTATACATACATTGTTTTCTCCAATCCTTTCCCACTGCCACTACTACATATGATACTCCTTATAATGAGGCTTAGACAAGCTACATAAGAGTGAGAAACATTGTGAAACTTTCAGCTTTTGGCCACATAAGGGACACATAACTAAATCTAACAACGTCATTTGATTTTTGAGATATTACTTAACTACATTTTCATCGAATTAAAAATTTAGTCATCATTATATTGACATTCTACAAAATTACTTTTTTCAACATAATACACTGTTTCAAGGTTCTTTTAAATGGCTTTTATGTTTGTAGTACACTGGCTAAGACCTGTTATCACAGACATTTGAGACTTAGCAGGAATGTTTCAGGTTCTCTGGGCCTGGGAAGACAAGAGTTCAGCACTGACATTGAATACTCTAGTTCACATGAGCATCTACCCTGACTGAAGGCTTTCATGGGCATAGACACCCCACAACCACTTAGACATTGACGTGTCCTTGCCAGCGCGCCTGGACAAATAAATGAGATGTTGTGCATGAAGTTGTGGAAGCTGGACAAGGTCTTGTGCTTCCTGGAGCACCCCCCTGCTCTTCTGTCTCCAAACTCTTTTTTCCCTACATACTCCATATATTTGAAACATAAAATGCTATTAGATCAAATTCCTAATAATGGATACATTTAACCTGTTGAAACGAAACATGATATACTCTCAACATGTACTGTATTTACTGCATCCTCAAATGATGCAATATTCAATATCAAGGTGTGACAAAGAATGTTAATCTTTAGATTCAGTAAATGACTCCAGCTAAATGCTACCTGTAAGATCTCACATCGGTTTTGAAGAATTTTGACCCATTCCTCCTTACAGAACTCTTCCAGCTCGTTGACATCTGAGGGCTGCCTCGCATGGACAGTTCGCTTCACTTCCTGAATAAAGTATTTCAACGGGGTTTAGGTCCCGCCTTTGATTGGGCCATTGTAAAACACAGAATCTCTTCTTCTGCAGTATCTGCCTAAACGAATCGTTGTCTTGCTGCATGACCAACTTTCGGTTCAGTTTAAGGTCAGAGATGGTTGGCCTGACATGGTTGGTCTTGAATCTCCTGGTACAATGTAGAATTAATGGTTGTGTCAATATTGGCAAACAGCCCCGAAGCATGACATTCCCACCACCATGCTTGATGATTGGGATGAGGAAGCACTGTCTGAAAGCAGTTTGTTTAGTTTTTACTACACATAACGTTTCTCATTGAGGTCGGAGAATTTTAAGTTTGACTCAACTGTCCCGAGATCATTGTTCCAGAAGTCTTGTTCTTCAGCTATGTGCTGTTTGGAAAATGTTCAGTAATTTTCTGAGAGCTGAATCATAAACAGTCATGTTAGCCAAAGTGAAAGCAGCCTGCAGTTCCTTAGCTATTACTCAGGGGCTCTTTGTAATTTTTGTAACGATTTTCTGGTATGTTCTTGGATGGATTTTGGTAAGATGAGCACTCCTGGACAGAGTGACTGTGGTCTTGAACTTTCACCATTTGTAGACTCTGATAGTGGATTGGTGGAGCCCTGAATACTTATACTTGTAGCCCTTTCTAGACTGATATTCATCAATATCTCTTTTCTGAGATCCTCAGAATTCTTTCTGATAATAATTGCTTATGTTTATATAGTGCTGTTCTGGACACTACACTCCTGCACTCAAAGCACTTTAGATGTAATCGGGACTCCCCTCCACCACCACCAATATACAGCATCCTTCTGGATGATGCGACGGCAGCCATAGTGCGCCAGAACACTCACCACACCTCAGCTGTCAGTGGGGAGGAGAACAGAAAAATGAAGCTGGTTCATAGACGGGGATTATCAGGAGGAGGTAAGGGCCAATGGGAAATTTGGCCAGGACACTAGGGTTACACCCCTACTCTTTTCGAGAAACGCCCTGGAATTTTTAATGACCACATAGAGTCAGGACCTCGGTTTTATGTCTCATCCGAAGGATGGCGCCTGTTTACAGTATGGTGTCCCCCTCACTATACTGGGGCATTAGGACCTACACAGACTGCAGGGTGAGCACCCCCTGCTGGCCCCCTAACATGTCTTCTAGCAGCAACCTTTTGTTTTTTCCAGGAGGTCTCCCATCTAGGTACTGACCAGGCTCACACCTGCTTAGCTTCAGTGGGTTGCAAGCTGTGAGTTGCAGGTTGATATGGCTGCTGACTGAATTCACACTTTTACTGGACTAATCAAGAGACTTCCACACACCTGTATAGAGAAGACCAGAATCCTCAGATCTTTATAGATTGGGACCCTCCGAGCTCAGTCCCCAAGAACTACCTAATTATTTAAACACCTGTTCCTAATTCTTTTGTTAATAGAGCGAATGAAACTAGGGGCTCGGTTACTTTTTCACAAGCCCTGTACCTTAATTATTCATTGTTTGTTTAATTCATACTGTACATCATTTTGTTTCAAAGAGACTTCTTAGTTATAAACCCTTTTGGATATTTACATAAAATTGGCTTAGATCCAAGAAGGCTTTCCTGATAAAACTGTGAAATTTCCATATTTATCGCTGGGGCTCACAAACTTTTTCTTGACATTGTAGATTGCCACCCTTGGTAACACATTCAACATGTAATTAAAAAGGTTTGATGTTTTACAGTACCTTGATCCTATTAGAGTCTAATTAATGACTGTGGTGGATTTATTTTCTATGCATAGTCTTCCCCAGGTTAAAAGAGCATTAGTATAACCAGCTATGCAACAAGCAGAACAGATTGACATGGTTGCATCACTCTGTTTTGATCTTCAGAACCAGCTGAGGAGTATGTACAACACTATACAAATATATAGCACTACCCATATTCATTTTTATTTACACTGAGTCTTTTGCTCCTTGACTGTGCTGTCCTACTTGCTGGTGAAGAAAAAAGCCATTGGCTATACCTGACGTAAACCGTTTGACTGTTTTGCATCGATTTCTCAATGAAATATACACGTCAGTACAGTTTTTCACACCTGATGCTTACCTGAAAAAGATGAGTTACAGCACAAACTTAAGAAAAAACAAAATATGTTGATGGGAAATCCTTGTCTGAAGATCGCTTATAGACTGCAGTTTTCTCTTCTTTCTGTAGATTCTCATAATTTAGATCATTACTAGAACCATCTTGAGATGAGTTCCATCATTGTTAGTGCAAAAGTCCAAATTCTTGTCCAAAGCACTTTGAGTCTTTAACATGAAGCACAATGTCTAATCCAAAACTAAGCATTGAGCAAAATAAATATATTTTCTCCTAGCTGTTCTGTCCCACATTTCGCGTTGCGGTGGCTCTGTGGCTAAAGATCTGTTCCTGTGGCTGGAAGGTTGCCAGTTTGTATCCTGCGGCCAGCAGAGGAGTCCTACTCTGTTGGGCCCCTGAGCAAGGCCCTTCACCCCAACTGCTCCAGGGGTGTATAAATGGCTGACCCTGCGCTCTGACCCCAGGCTTCTCTCCCCGTCTATGTGTCTCATGGAGAGGAAGTTGGGGTATGCTAAAAGACAAATTTCTAATACAAAAAATTGTATATGGCCAATAAAGTGATCTTATCTTTTCAATGTACCCTTAGCTTTTATCAAGTTTGCACAGCAGCATTGTGTAATTATCACTTGAATGGCCTGACAAGTATGGGTCTAAAAGATCACCACAAGAAAAAAACAGACTGTGCCATGGGGATTCTGAAAGGCAAATCTGTGCTAATTTGTCATGTGCTGAAATTTATACTGACAATGTTACATTTTAAAATTGCTTTTTGTTTTTGTGGAAGATATTGCGTCCAATTCTTGGTTTCACTGCTTTGAAAGAAGCATAATGGCTCAAGGACATATTAAATATGAATTAAATACTAAGGACATGAACAAGACCATTCCTGAAAATAGGGTGGCTGTTGAGTAAGTCACTTAATTACGGTATTGCTTATCCATAATTTTGAGGTCTATCTGGAGTGTGGATCCCACACAGCTCCATTTCATTTATCAAAAACATCAAAACTGAACAACCAACTGATAGAACATATGACCTGAGCCTCCTCAAGAGATAAAGTCGGCTCTGACCCATCTTGTAGATGGCCTCGTGTTCTTAGACCATTCCAGTCTATCGTCGGTAGTTCTATCGTCCCAGGTACTTGCATGAGTCCACTCCCATGGATGTAGATAGGAGTAGGTTGGACCCTTTTTCTCCTGAACTCTATCACCAGCTTCTTCATCTTTGCCACATTCAATTGCAGGTTGTTCTCCCCACACCACTCCACAAAGCTGCTCTGTACTCTTCCTCCTGCCCACCCTTGATACATCCCACAATTGCAGAGTCGTCTGAGAACTTCTGCAGGTGGCATGACTTTGAATTGTATTTAAAGAGGGACAGAGAAAGAACTGTCCCGAGGAGCCCCTGTGTTACTCACTACCTGTTCAGAGACACAGTTCTGAAGTCTCACAAACTGGTCTGCCTGATCCATGAGATCATGGAGGCACCCACTTGCACCTCCTCCAGCTTCCTCCCTAGCAGTAAGGGCTGGATAGTATTGAAGTTTTATTGCAAAACAAGTTTTATTGCATTGAACAATACATCCATCGCCATCTTTGAACTCTTGTCAAATGACGTTATTTCTCGGCTTACAGTCTATCAGTTTAGTCAAATTCTGGTAATTCATGATGATCAGTATTCCACATAACTTTTGCTAGTGTTCTGAATTTTCAACCCAAAAAGTGTTTTGTACTATTTTTGAATGGGATACATGTTTAACGTAATACGGTGTTTTACTAGTGGAATGTGGTGTGCAACAAAAATAAATAAGAAATTCTTAAACTCACATCACATTTCAAAGTTGTTTCCTCTTTAATTTCAGCACTTACTGACATTTTTTCATGTGGCTTTTTTGACATTGGCATATACAGTACTGTAGATTCCACTGATCTGACATGTACAGAAATATGGATCCAATGGATATGGGTTCCTTTAACATCTGACAGATCCTGGATTGCACTGGAGAGACTGTTGTTGCCCTTCATTACAGTTTTCAAACACGCTCAGTTGAGGTTATGCTCACTTCTCTTTTTGTGCTTCGTGGTTTGATGAAGCAGTACGTGCTTATTGCTTACTGTGACCAGACCACAGGTTTTCACCTGGGATATGGAAGATTTCAACTCAGTCCCTGTTAACAAAGAGATCTCCATTCTGCACCACACAGGGATTCAGATCTGTGGCATGACCAAAGTTCCTATGCGGCCATTTTCTACACGGTGGTATGCTGGGGCTCTGGGATTAGAGCAGGGGATGTTAATAAGATGAACAATCTCATCAGAAGAGCAAGCTCAGTCATTGGGTCTGGCCTGGACCCCCTGGAGGTAGTGGCTGAGAGGAGAATGGTGTCCAAACTAGAGGCCATCATGGACAACGACTCCCATCCCCTCTATGGCATGCTTTTGAGAATGAAGAGCACGTTCGGCAATAGGCTGATCCATCCACGGTGCGACAGGGAGCGCTACAGGAGGTCATTCTTGCTTTCTGCCATAAGACTGTACAACTCGTCCACTGTGTCTGGGCAGAGGCAACTTTGACATTAACCTGTTTTTGGACTAAACCGTAAACTCTGCTTACATCTGGCTTTTCCCATTTACAACTGTTTTTTGTGCAATACAACTTTTTGTGTATTGTATTGTGCTCTGGTTGTTCTTTGTATATTCTGGACTGGACTGTTCTGGACTGTGAGCAACTCTTCTTAGTGCACTTCTCTCTGACTGTACTGATTGTATTCTATTGTTGTATTATTGTATCATTTTGTTACACTGTGCTGTTGCACTGCAATCTCCCTCACAGAATCAATAATAATAATAATAATAATAATTCAGGTGGGTAGCTGCGTCAGCATG